AGGTGGCGCGACGGGGCCGGGGCCGTAGGTAGGGCGACGGGGTGCGACGCACGGGTCCCCGTCGCCCGTCGCAGCGCCTCCCGGGGGCGACGCGCCGAGTGACGGGGCAGAAACCCGTCGCGCGCCTCGGGGCGCACGGCGGGCAGAAAACCGCCGCGCGCCTCGGGGCGCCCGGCGGGCAGAAAACCGCCGCGCGCCTCGGGGCGCACGGCGGGCAGAGAACCGCCGCGCGCCGCGGGGCGCACGGCGGGAAGAAAAACTGCCGCACGCCACGGGGCGTGCGGCACAGGGAGTAGCAGTAGTAGTTGCAGCGGAAGCAACGAGGTGGTGAGCCCACCCACAGGATCGATCCAAGGGGATCGACCTGCTCTGATAGCATGTGAAAGTTTAGAAGAGAGAAGAGGGGTTGCACTAGCAAGAATGAGGATACAAATAGCAAACCCTAGAAGGGTTGTACTCGCTATAAAGCACCCCACTACAAGCTAGAGCATAATATTCTGACATATTCTAGCCCTGACATTTAGGGAACTGAAGAAAAAAAAAAACCCCTATTGGATGGCACGTCCTTCGGGAGGCATCAACCCTAAACACTATGCGACAAGGTGTTTAGGGTTGATGCTCCCGAATTATATCCCATCCGAATGGGTTTTAGTTTTGTATTGGGAACAAATATTAATCTTAGTGTTTCACCCGTCTAAAAGTGATATTCTAAGGGACATTATGCATTGATCGAACAGTGGACATTCGATAGTAAAGAAGAAATTGCAGATTGTTTTAACGAGTTACCGAGAGTTGTCGCGAAACTTTTTCGTGATACTATGGACAAAACAGCGCGCGCGATAAAATTTTCCCTAAATCCCTACAGTGACTCGAGTAGTTACATTTCTCGATTAGGCGTTTCATCTGTGACCAAACGTGATAGACTTGCGGGGCAATCCGTGATAGCACTATGATCAACACGATAGTTACGAGGTGTACTGTGAGTGTTCGTGATACCCCCGTGATAAATCGGGTCTAACTGTGACTACCCATATAATTTCCCGATGTTGCATTGACTGCGGGAAGGACCAAATTGCAATATCTAAACTGTCACAAGAGTAAGCATAGTGAAGAGCCATAGCTAGGGTTTAGCTAGCTAGGCAAGAGAGAAATGAAGAAAGGAGGGATTTCACTAGCAGCAGTTGGGATACATATAGCAAACCCTAACAGGGTTGTACTCGCTATAGAGCACCCCACTGCAGGCTAGATAATAACATTCTGACACACCCCCATAGCCAAAGTGGGGTGTAATTAGCAGAGCACGCATTCATAAAGCAGGTTCACAAACGCAAGCAAAGCTAGAGGCTATCACAGAGGGCAAGTGAGGAGGAGGAGGAACTGTGGAATGAGAGAAGATGGGAGGCAACGACTGAAGCTGCAGAGGCACGGGCACAGGAGCGGCTGACTCAGTGGCTACCAAAGCAAGGGCAACGGACTACTGGAGTGACTGGCTCCGCGGCTAAGACGAGCGGCAGGAGCAACGGACCCACTGGCGACTGGTGCAACAGGCTCACTGGCTACCGAAGCAAGGGCGACGGACTACAGGCGCTACATGCGACACGACAGCTACCTCCACACAACCTCCTCCAACTGACCCACACCCTTGACACACACCCCCTGCTGAACCCCTAACTCCACTCCCACGTCACCCCCTAGCACCACTCCTTCGGCTCCCACACAACCACCCCCCTGAGCGGCAGCTGCAGCAACGGGAGACGGAGTAGGAGGAGGAGCAAGGGACGGCGCACACAACCGGCACCCCCACAACCGTCACCCCCACACTCCCCACCCCCAAACCCTAAAACGGGTGGCACGGGGTAGGAGCGCGGGGGACGGCGAAGGAGACGGCGCGCGGCCCCCAAGGCGCCACCACGGGGCAGCGAGGGGCCGCGCGCGGCTCCCCAGGGCGCCGCGACGTGAAGGGCGGGGGGTCGCGCGTGCTCCCCAGGGCGCCACCATGGGGCAGCAAGGGGCCGCGCCGTGAAGGGCGGGGGCCGCGCGTGCTCCCCAGGGCGCCACCACGGGGCAGCGAGGGGCCGCGCGCGGCTCAAGTGGTGGCGCGCGGCCCCCAGGGCGCCACCACGGGGCAGCGAGGGGCCGCGCGCGGCTCCCCAGGGCGCCGCGACGTGAAGAGCGGGGGCCGTGCGTGCTCCCCAGGGCGCCGCGACGAGCAGGGCAGGGGCCGCGCGCGGGTCCCCAAGGTAGGAAACCGCCGCGCGCCTCGGGGCGCACGGCGGGCAGAAAACCGCCGCGCGCCCCGAGCGCACGGCGGACAGAAAACCCGAAAAAAAAAAAATCGCCGCGCGCTTCGCGTGCGGCAGGAAGGAGTCGCACGCCACGGGGCGTGCAACAGACAGAGTAGCAGCGGAAGCAGTTAGGTGGGCCCACAGGCCAGGACCGTAGATGCTCTGATAGCATGTCACAAGAGTAAGCATAGTGAATAGCCATAACTAGGGTTTAGCTAGCTAAGCAAGAGAGAAATGAACAAATGAGGAGGTTTCACTAGCAGCAGTTGGGATACATATAGCAAACCCTAACAGGGTTGTACTCGTTATAGAGCACCCCACTACAGGCTAGATAATAACATTCTGACATAAACCACTACCTACACGACACCGGCGTATTTACTGTGCAGACGTATACCACGACAAAATTATATAATGCGGGAAGTTACAGAGCACTAGCCACAACATTCTCGAGAAAGTTACATACCTTTAGTGACACACCCATTCCCAACCGCGAAAATGTAAACCATATCGCGTAAGCCATTGTAGGGTCGATTGGATTTTTGGAATTCAAAATAGTTCTGACGTGGTGCACGAGTGGTCGACAGGATCGACACAAATCCGAAAACCGTCGAGTCCCGTGATTTTTCTTGCTGAGTCCTGACAGAAGTCATCCAAAGGGTTTTTTAGTTTTCCTGGAAGGCTTACTGTAGCTTTCTTTCTTTCAAGGGACATTTATCTCAATTTGCGCACACTTTCCGTTGATCCGCTTCTAAGGCGGAAGAGTTATTGTGCCAACACAGAACTCGGCTTCTCCGCACATCACGCAAGCAATGTTTTCATCGGGTTTCTTCTGCCAGGAAGCACAAAACTAAACCCCTCTCGGATGGAAAGTTTTCAAGGGCATCAACCCTAAACACCACGCGACAAGGTGTTTAGGGTTGATGCCCCTTAACACTTGCCAGCCGAGAGGGATTTAGTTTAGTACGATAGAATAGCAAAACACCGAGATGATGACACGTGGGTAGATGTGGAGTCGACTTCTGTGTTAGCGCAATAAGTCTTCTGCCTGGGCCACAAAACCTAGGAAACTGTGTGCAGGTAGAGAGAAAAGGTCCCTAGAAAGCGCAGGTTCGGAAGTACCTCTTCCACCGTAGCTAAAAACCCTTTTCTTTCATTCCAAGGCGTCAGGCAGCCATTCTCTTAGACTGTTTCAGAAGGCTTTAGTCCCCGTTTTCCATTATCCAGCGAGTTTCTCAACGCTCTGTCGCTGTAGTTCGAGTTTACACATGGAGTCTGGCTCGCATTTCAACCGACTAACTGACGACCTATTACTCAAGATTTTATGTCATACCTGCAAAATGCCACTATCTCCTATCGTCGATGCTGATGCAGCATTCGACGATGCGACATGCGACGATGTTGCACGCGACAATGCTGCATGCGACTCTTTGTATCCGAGGCAGAAATACTTTTGGACTGAAGCTTCACCAAAGATCTCAAGCGATAGCGAACAAAACTCCTTCGCACCGACTCCTCCTGCCTTCACCGACGCTGCTCTTAGTCTCCTCGTCGCTTCCGTCTGCCAACGCTGGCGCCGTCTCTCCCAGCATTACGTCTCGACGCTTCTCGTCAGGAAAAATCTCGCCGTTTCCCGCCAAGACCTCGCCAACGCGGTTTCCTGCTTCCCGAACCTGACCCCCCTGCATCTATGCGACGGCAGCGTGGAAGCCCTAAACGACGCCTTCCTCTCTCACCTCGGCTCGTCTTGTCCTAAGCTGGCGGTTTTCCACGCGGGAAGCAAGATTATCGGAGATCCGGAAAACGACGACAGGAAGCACTTACATCCGGTTACTGAAAACGGTTTGGATCAGCTCTTTCGACAATGCAAGCAACTTGAGGTGCTGTCGCTGGACTGCCTTCACCCGAACGTCGTATTTCCGGCTTCGTTCTTCCAGCTTTCGCAGCTTCGCATTCTCGTTCTCCCGGACGCGACAGCGCTGACGGATTCTGGGTTCTCAAAACCTCTCGTCTCTCACGTCTATTCGCATAACGTCCCAGGACTTGGACTATCAGCATCTCGTGAATCTCATTCAGCTTCCGAAGCTTACCAATGTTGCAATCAATTGCGTTGACGAACCTATCGCCAGCTTTTCCGCTTCACGTCTGCAGTTCCTAACGTCTCTGCAACTCGAGGGCGATGGCTTTTTTTTCAGCCAATTCTTTCCCTCGGAAGTGCCGTGCTTCAGGCTGGAACGGCTGGTGATTGCGAATTGCGACTTGGACCGACTTCCGAATGACATTGGCGAGGTTTTGCCTTGTCTCTGCGAGCTGACCCTGCGATGGTGCTCAGGACTCACCGGGCTGCCTGAAGATTTTACGTCTCTGACCCGGTTGGAGAGCCTGACAGTCTCCTCATGCCTCAGCTTTTCTAGCCTGCCCGACAATTTCGATCGGTTGCCTGCCCTGAAAACTTTGTTCCTGCGTATGCTGGCCCTGACCAACCTCCCCAATTCATTTGGGCGTCTCAGATCTCTCGAAAGAATCACAATGTGCAGGCTCCCTATCACGGAACTCCCAGAATCCTTCTCTTCCCTCACCTCCCTGAAGACCCTGCTCATGGTTTCTTGCTGCGAGATTCAGCAGCTTCCTGCGAATTTCGACCGCCTAGGAGCTCTCAAGTCGCTATGCATGGTCAAGCAGCCAATACTGAAGCTTCCAGTGGGATTGGGGGGGATGGCTGCCATCCAAAGGATTTATGAGGGAGAAGTGTTCAATCGGCTGCAGCTCCCGGGTTCACTCACTGGGTTGACTTCGTTGACTCAGCTTGACCTGGATTTCATTTCCGAAGAGAAGCTTCCCGAGGGCATTGGGAAGCTGAATCAGCTGCGCCAACTTCACATCCAGTGCTGTTTCGATCTCAAAGAGATTCCTGATTCCGTGACAGGGCTGACCAATCTGGATACCCTCACTATTGGGTTGTGCAGCCAGCTCGTGTCACTTCCCAACAAGCTCGATGGGCTTTTCAAGCTCAAACGCCTGGAGATAATCGGGTGTCACCCTGCTGTATGGCTGAACGGTCCTCGAATCTCCCTGCCATCCTCTCTCGATTCCCTTAGTCTGGGGAGCTACAATCACGCCATGCATCTGCTAGACCTCCCTGTGCTGCCGAATCTCAAGAAGCTGACACTGAATGTGGTCAATGTGGAGGGTGGGGAAGGTGGTGTGGCTGTCCACAGTGCTTTCCCCCAGTTAGAGCATCTGGAGTTGGTGTTGGCAGAAGATGCAGAGGAGCTCACGTTCCCTTTGGCTTCTCTCCCCCAGCTGCGGATTCTGGCGATCTCCAGGGCTGGTAACATCGAGAAGCTTCCAGGAAGCATTGGCTCAGACCTGAAGCATCTTCGGCACTTGCGGATAGAGAATGCTCCAGAATTGCAAGTGCTGCCAGAAACGGTCACCCAGCTTCGCCATCTGACATCCTTGGGGGTTCATGCACCCAAACTCACTTCCCTTCCCACCAGCATTGGTGCGCTATCCAGGCTACGGGAGCTGGATCTCTCAGACTGCTCTGCCCTGGAGAATCTCCCTGCTTCGCTCACCCAGCTCGCCTGCCTGAACAAGTTGAGTGTTCAAAACACTGCGATCCGCTCGTTTCCAGCAAACTTCGCGCAGCTGACCCGGCTGAAGAGTCTGGACCTGTATGGATGTGCAAGATTGGAGAGCCTGCCGGAAGATTTTCCTGAGCTCGGGATGCTGCAGTTTTTTAGGTATGGTGGGTGCACGCATGAACTGGACAGGAAAATAAAACAGGAGGTAATAGACCATGGCATGTATGGGTTAACAATTAGAAGTTATTAGTTGTGAGGTAATGATTGTACCGTATGTGTGAGTTGACAGTTCCGGCTGGATTTGGTTGTAGGTTGTGAATGTGGAATGAGGGACGGAAATGTGGTTGCTTGCTGAGACAGACAACGAAATCTGTCTGTGCTAACATTATGATTAGCCTCCTGGTCCAACACAGCTACAGGAACAATAAATCTGTTAGGATTGGAACTGCGTTGCTACCACACTCCTGCAAAACACGGCTAGTACCGAATGACTCTGTAAGAGGTAAAGACGACCGCGAATCTGCAGAAGCCTTTCCAAATTCGCGACTGCGTGATGAAGGCTCTTCTTCTGTCGTGCGCTGAGTTATCGACCGGCAGTGAAAGAAGCCCTTCTACTTTCGGCGAACTCACGAAACACAGTTACTCGCGAGCGCTGGAGGAATCTAGCTTTCTCCAATTCCATTGGAGGAAACTGATCCCCCAACAGCAAGGTGCAAACTGCTGGGGTCTTCTGGCAGCCACAAAATTACTCGCTGGAGAATCCTTTCTTGAGCTTGGCTGTCGCTTAGTTTTCTGGCTGTGACACGGCTTGTCCGTGTCCGACAAAGGGGAAAAGCGTTGCAACCAGCTCGGCTCGGCTTCTATTGACCCTTGTCCTCCACGCTACTTCACTCATACCTAGTTTTGCTGTCTGTTGCCTGCACCGAAGAGAACGTTGATAGTGCTTGGCGACCGAGTATTAGGGCGATTCTTCCTGGGTGATTTTACAGCAAAGCATCATGGCGGACACCAAGTTGAAGCTGATGAGCTCAGACAATGAGATATTTGAGGTAGACCAAGAGGTAGCCCTTCAGAGCGACATTGTTAAAAAAGGTGATTGAAAATGCCGATGCGTCATCTGCCAGCGCTCCCATCCGTTTGCCAGAAGTCTCTGGGAAAATTCTAGATAAGGTGATTGAGTACTGCAAAGTATCACGTAAATGCGAAGAAGCCTGCAGTCACGGACAAGGAGGTGAAGGCGTGGGATCAAGAGTTCATCAAAGTTGATCAGAGTACCCTGTTCGACCTAATAATGGTGCGTATCCACCTTCTTCTAATCATGCATCATCCATTGTTCTGTCTTAGCTTCAGTCCTTCCGTTGACGTATTCATCTTTGTTGCCATGCTCCCATACCCTGTGATTCATAAGATGTTACTACCAGGCTGCGGATAATTTGAAAATTAAAGATCTGTCGGAGCTTACAACCCAGGCTGTAGCTGACATGGTTCGAGGTCAGACGCCAGAGGAAATCGGCAGGACATTTGGAAGCGACCTTACTCCAGAACAAATAGAAGAAGTTCGTCGCGAGAACCCGTGGGCTTTCGATGGTCCGCCCAAAACTGGGCGATCGTGAATCACCGTAGAAGACACATGCTTCGGGTGCTAAGCAGGGAGACTTTCTCTGTTTAAATTTGGTGTCAATTGCTTCAGGTTTGAGATTGTTGGTTTCACGAAGATTGTGCTGGGGACCAAGTGTCATTGTGTTTTACGATACCTTTGCATTGACTGTAACATTCTGAGGACGTACTGAATGTAGAAATACCGAATGGCTCTGCAACAAGGATAGCATGCGAATTTGAACGAACCTTTCCGCTGGAATCTCGAAGTTTGGGGGTTGCGAAAACTTTCGGCGATTCAGTTTCGCACTGAGATTCCTCGCCCCATATGCAAAGATAATCAGCCCAGCTAGTTGCAACATATGCTCGTAGTAATTTACAAATTACTCTTTGGCAAGGCCCGTGACTCTTCGCGCCTCGAGCGTCACCTTACAAGAGCATTGTTTCATAAGCAGCGGATCCGACCTAACGATTCCAGCCAACTCCGCTCTCCCTTTCCGTCTTGCCGCAGTTTCCAAACCTTCGCGCAATCATTGCGACACGGTGATACTGTACAGTTCTGCTGGAATGCCCGCGCCGCGCGGCCCTTGATCCTAATATGGCGCTCTTCGCGAGTCCTGTAGCCGCGACAGGCTGTCGCGTTTTAGCCCGCGTTGAGCCTCCTCGTGTCGCTCACCCGTATGACTCTCTCTCACTCCACTCGCGTCCCCTCGTCCCGTCGGCCCCTTGTCGAGTCTCGTCCGTGTTCTGGCTGTCAGGATGTCAGCCGCGCCGCACCCCGCCGCACCGCGCGGAACCGCATCGGACTCAACCGCTGTTCATCGAACGGTACAGCATTCAGCCGCATTGCATGTCGCAGTCTCAAAGCTCCAGCTCGGACCCTCACTCGACTTCCTCCCTGTCGTCATCAGCACCACAATCGACCGCGCTGCACCCCTCCCCATCGCGTGCAGCACCGCACTCAACCGCACAAATTGCACCCTCTACATCTCCTCCTTCCTCCCCTTCTCTCCCTGAGCTGCTTGCTGCATGGAGGGAGAAGCGAGCAAGACAACACGACGCTGCAACCACAGAACCGCACTCAACCGCACAATCTGACACGCAATCCACGTCAGCAGCCCACTCAGACGCCAGAATCGAAGACACCAAGATCTCAACGTCCTTAGCCCCCTCGCTTCTTGCTGATATGCGAAGTGAAATGAAGACCGTTGCTCAGCTGTACAGCCGTCAGGGGGGAAATCAAGGGGGAAAGAAGGTTTCAGACTCTGTGGGTGGTTCAGGAGAGAACGGAGGTGACTATAGCGAGGTTCTTCGTGTACCAGCCTCGCTACAGGAGGCGGAGGATCTTCTCCAACAGCTAATAGAGGTTCGCAATCTCACTCATCTTCTCCAACAGCTAATAGAGGTTCGCAATCTCTCTCGCAATAGAATGCCTCTCTGTGTGGTGTTAACCTGGTGGCGTTCTCAGGGGGAGTCGACTCCTCAACCCCAACCACCCATCCACCTCCTCTTCTCCCCTCCCTTTGTGCCTCTCACCCCACCCTCTCCCAGGAGACTCGCTCCCTCTCCTCTCCCTCTGGGGTCAACCTGGTGGCGTTCTCAGGGGGGGTTGACTCCTCCCTCGCTGCCCACCTGCTGCACAGAGCATTCTCGGACTCACTCTCTTGCTCACCTTGCCTTCAACACCCACCCTCCCAGGAGACTCGCTCCCTCTCCTCTCCCTCCGTGGTCAACCTGGTGGCGTTCTCAGGGGGGGTTGACTCCTCCCTTGCTGCTTTCCTCCTGCACAGAGCACGCTCGGACCTCCCTTCAATCAAACCACTTGCTCACTTTGCCATCAACCCACATCCTCCCAGGAAACCCGTTCGCTCGCCTCTCCCTCCGGGGTCAACCTGGTGGCGTTCTCAGGGGGAGTGGACTCCTCGCTTGCTGCCTTTCTGCTGCACAGAGCACTCTCAGACCCGCCTTTGCCTCCTCCCGCACACTCACCCACTCACTCCCACTCCCACTCACACTCACAAGCACAATCCCGCTCACACACAGACTCACACTCACACTCGCCTCCCACAGTAGCCGCTGTGATCGCCTTAAGCCCCTCGCTCTCCTCCTCTCAGCTAATCACAGCCCGCCACGTGGCAGCAGCCATAGGCATTCCCCTGTGGGAGGTAAGTAGGTTTCCTCCAGTTATTCTGTTTGCGTGGTTGATTGCTGCCGTTTTGCCTATACGCCTCTGCCCGTTTCACTTGGTTTGGCCTTCAGTTTTGCACCCTCCGTTGACTTTTGCTTCGTTGGGTTTGGGAAACGTACACTGTGGGAAGGGCGTGTAAAAAAACCATCAAGTTTTCCCACCTAACCAATCGTAGGAGTCTGTGTAAGCCTCTTTTGAGTCAGTTTGATTCATGTTGGCTTGGGTGACAGCACCTGCAATCTTGGATAAATGCATTTGTCATTTTGAGTAACTGTAGAAGTCGTCTGACTCTGAATGACCTCGCTTGACCCTCCTTGTTCTCTTTGCCCCTTCAGGTGGAAACAACAGAGGGTCAGGTGCCAGAGTACGTGGCGAATGAGGGAGCGAGCTGCTACGCCTGCAAGGCAACCCTCTACACCACGCTATACACTGTAGCGCAGCAGTCCTTAACGAGGATAGGAATGGATAGCAGCAATCGTAATGAAGGTAAGGAGTTAGATGTGAGTCGTTTTCCCTGAGAGGCCACTGCCTACACCACACTGTACACTGGCGCAGCAGTCTTTGGCGAGGATGGGAATAGAGGGGAGTAACTGTAGTGAAGGTAAGGAATAGCAAGTCCTTAAGTGACATCTCAGACCTATCTTGCTGTGGCCTGATCGCAGCTCTGCATTGCTGATTGCCCCTCATCTCCCCATGCCTTCTCAACCCCTCTCAACCCCCCTCAACCCCTTTCAACCCTTACCCCTCCGTACCCTACTTGTCCCCAGTCACTCTGTTCAACGGCACCAATGCGGACGACCTATCAGACCCCTCCCGCTTGGGCATCCCAGCAGCTATGCCTTCTCAACCCCAATCAACCACGTGCAACCACTCTGTACCTCCCATCAACCCCTTCGTACCTCCACTTATCCCAGTCACTCTGTTCAATGGCACCAACGCGGATGACCTCTCAGACCCCTCCCGCTTGGGTCTGCTGGCTGCTCTGCACTGCCGGGTCGTGTCTCCCCTCGCCCGCCTACCTAAAGCCGCTGTGCGGGTGAGACCTTATGGGTCAGCACAGCTTATTCATTGGGAAAGGGGTGCATGAGATGGGGATGAAAGAGTGCCTTCGCCTCTTGCTTGGTCCTGCTGGCAGCTCTGCACTGCTGGGTCGTGTCTCTTCTCGCCCGCCTGCCTTAAGTTGCTGTGCGGGTGAGTGGGGAATGTGGGTGGGTGGGTGCACATCTCTTGAGTACTAGGTACGCGATGCTCCTCCTGATTCCTGCCTGCTCTGCACTGCCGGGTCGTGTCTCCCCTCGCCCGCCTGCCCAAGGCTGCTGTGCGGGTGAGTCCGGTGTGGTGGTGAATGGGTGGAGTGCGGTGGTAAGTGTACATCTCCCGCCCACTAGGTAAGGGCATCTCTTGCTGCGTCCTTCGTGCTCTGCGCTGCCGGGTCGTGTCTCCCCTCGCGCGCCTGCCCAAGGCTGCTGTGCGGGTGAGTGGTCAACGCTCAGCACAGATCGGTAATTGGTTCATGAGACGGGAATGCAAGAGTGCTCTCACCTCGCGCCGGGTCGTGCTGCTTGGTCCTGCTAGCTGCTCTGCACTGCCGGGTCGTGTCTCCCCTCGCGCACCTGCCCAAGGCTGCTGTGCGGGTGAGTGAGTAGGCTGTGGGGTTCAGTGCGGTGTGCAGCACAGCTCTGTGTCCCATAAGGGGTGCGTGGGAATGCATTCTTGCCGCTCCTGTTTTGGCCTTCTGGCTGCTCTGCACTGCCGGGTCGTGTCTCCCCTTGCCCGCCTGCCTTAAGTTGCTGCGCGGGTGAGTGAGCAGCACAGCCCATCAGAGCAGCAGGTTTGCTCAACTATAACATGTCACTCCCTCTTCTCCCCCTTCTTTCTTTCCTCCAAGCAGTAATAGCCAGAGGAGCAGGTTTGTTCAACTGGAACCTGTCACCCCCTCTCCTCCCCCTTCTTTCTTTCCTCCAAGCAGTAATAGCCAGAGGAGCAGGTTTGCTCAACTGGAACCTGTCACCCCCTCTCCTCCCCCTTCTTTCCTCCAAGCAGTAATAGCCAGAGGAGCACGTTTTCTCAACTGGGACTTGGCAGCGTCGCCCTGCCTGTGCAGCTGATTGCCGTTCAAAGAGCCCCACTGCTGCTGCTCCCTTCAGCTCTCCTGCTACCCTTTTTCCCCCTTCTCTCCTCCCAACTGGGACCTCACTGCATCGCCCTGCCTGCCTCTCAACCCCTCATTTCCCCAACCCCTCATTTCCCCAACCCCGGCTCCCCCCCTCCCCTTGACACCACTCTCACCCATTTCCTCCCCTTTTCTTCAGGCTGTAGCACGAGCAGCGGGTTTGCCTAGCTGGGACTTGGCAGCATCACCCTGCCTGCGCAGCAGACTGACATGCTGAGGCTTGCCCCTCCTGTCCTCTCTCGTGTTGCCCCTTATTTCCACCTCTCTTTTTCAGGCTGTAGCACGAGCAGCGGGTTTACCCAACTGGGACTTGGCAGCATCACCCTGCCTGCGCAGCAGACTAGCGTTTGGGGTTGAAGCCACAGCAAGCACTCTGATGCTGGTGGAGCGAGCGGAGAAGATGGTGAGTGGAAAGGGGGGAGAGGAGTTGGGGAGAAAACTGGGGAGACCTTCTAGTCAAGGAGTGGTTTGTTAGAACAAAGGGTTAGTTGGACGGGACAGGAGGTCAGAGCAGACTAGCGTTTGGAGTTGAAGCCCAGCAAGGACACTGATGCTGGTGGGGAGAGCAGAGGAGATGGTGAGTGGACGTGGCGGGGGAGGATTTGGGGTGCAGGTAAAAGAAGATTAGGGTTTGGAGTTGAAGCCCAGCAAGGACACTGATGCTGGTGGAGAGGGCAGAGGAGATGGTGAGTGCAAGGAGTGGGGGAAGATTGTTATTATTATTATTATTCAAATCCTCAGTCAATTGTCCTTACAGTTCCCCATCCCATATTCTTTCCCTCCCAGGTCCGCTCCTTCCTTCCTCTCACCCAAAGAGACAACACGAGAGTGCGCCTGCTGCATCCCACCTTTGCGCTCTTTCTCTCCCAATCCCATTGATCCTCCATACAACCTTCTCTTCCCCCTTCCTCTCTCCTTCCCAGGTCAGCTCCTTGCTCCCCCTCGGTCCAAGGGACAACACGAGAGTGCGCCTGCTGCATCCCACCTTTGCACCCTTCCTCTTTGAATCTTATAGTTTCTTCATTTCCCTCTCCCCTCTCCCCCCACCCCTCTCTCCCTCCCAGGTCCGCTCCTTGCTTCCTCTCACCCCAAGGGACAACATGAGAGTGCGCCTACTGCATCCCACCGCACTCCCCTCTCCTGCTACCACATCCACCACTGCCGCCACAAGGATCCCAGTTGCTGCCTCACCACTTCAATCACCATTTGAACCGCTTCAAAGCATGCCAATGGGTGCAAACTCAGCTCCCCACGATGCTCTCTGCGCACTGCTAGAGGTGGAGGCAAATGTCTTGCAGCAGGCAGAGGAACAGCATCCAGGCATCGAGGCGGGTATGACTGCCCTTGGTCTTCACTACTTGGGCTGCAGGGCATTCAAAAGCGGCAGCCTGGTGTTTCCGCTTTAGCTTCCTTTTGCTGCGGCTCATAGTGGAGCAGGCAGAGGAACAGCAGGCAGGCATCGAGGTGGGTATGGCAGCCCTTGGTCTTCACTACCTGGGCTGCAAAGCCTTCAGGAGTGGCAGCATGGTGTTTCTGCTTTAGCCTCCTCATGGTGTGTGGGTGCTCCCATGACTTAACAACCAGGGTCACACCAGCAGGCAAGCATTGAGGCGGGTATGGCAGCCCTAGGTCTGCACTACCTGGGCTGCAGGGCCTTCAAGAGCGACAGCCTCGTTATGCCTCTGTAGCTTCTCTGTGCTGCGGCTACCTACGGGTCCCACCACCCAAGGTTCACCTGCCGTGCGCCAGAAACCTCTAAAAAAGCAGACTAGGAGATTTTAGCCATAACCTGAGAACATGCATGGTACACCTGCCCTGCCCACTGGTTGCTCTGAATGGGCCTAAAACAAAGTCACTGGCTTGTCCTTGGTGGTATGGAACGTCCTGTCCGAATGGCGCTGAAGGCCGGACGTGAAGAGATATAGACAATGTAGATATTTGTCTATAATTTCATTAGGTTGTACGGTAGTTGGGTGCAGAGAGTTGATCCTATGAAGTTTATGAGAGTGAACACGCCCTGGCATTCCCTTTCGATTTCTCCGATGGCTGGCTGAGGTAACGAGGTAGGAGGAAGTACATTGAGGGCGACGTCAGGTTGTACAACTTTTTGTACGCCCACTGCGGTTAACTCTGTTTCAACACGGTGCAGAGCGGTAAACGTCAAGAACCGCTTTCCAACGTTTTGGACCGTTTTGAACCACGATACAAGTGAGAAGAAAAGAACGAGAATGAAATGACTATGAACGAAGTGAGTACAAATAGGAAACCCTAATTGGGTTGTACCCCCTATGGGATACCCCACTATAGCCTACACAAATAAGTAAGCTATAATGTTCTGACACACCCCCATAGGCAAAGTGGGGGAGAACAAGGGGTCACAAGACCAGTCAAGTAAAGCAAAGCAAAGCTCAGGGTGGATCACAAAGTCACCACACATTCCGAGCACAAGTTCAAAGGCCAGAAGGCCAGTCCACATGCAAGATCATATACAGAGATATACAAGAGTCAAGCAAGCAAGGGCAAGAGTATATATAGGTGAAGGTACAAGCAAGGTCAAGAAGTGAGCAAGTGAGGCAAGACAGGCACAAGACCCAGCTGCGTGCAGCAGCGCTGATGATCACAAGGCGCAAGTGCCTTGGTGAAGACATCAGCAGTGTTGGCATCAGAGGCCACGTACGCAAGTCGCAACTGTCCACGCTGCTGTAGCTCACGAGCAAGAAAGTAGCGGAGAGCAATGTGCTTTGTCCTGTGCTCCAGTCGCTGCTCTCGACACAAGGCCAGCATGGCCTTGTTGTCTACGTACAGGACTGGAGGAGAACGAGGCGGCTCTCCAAGGTCGGTCAGCAGGTAGGTGAGCCAGCGAAGCTCGTGGGCAGCCATAGTGTTGGGCTGAAAAGGCCCTAAGGATCTTTACAGAGGATAACTCTGGGTAGGATACTTTGTAATAGCGGAAGCGTTTAATGAAGCTTTGTGAACCGACCTTGCACTAGTGTGTGAGAGCAAAGTAGATTAAATTATATTGAAAGGATACAAGCTTATATAATAATACAGGGAATATGAAGAGATACGGTTATAACTACTTTTACTGTTGCTGTTGCGGTTCGATACAGTGCGACTCGGGCAACTGCTCTGTAACGAGTCAGTTGTGTGTCCTTAACTGTCGCGCTGTTCTTGTCAGGTCAAGGGTCAGCGACCTTTGACTTTCGCGTAACTTCCTGCAGCCGATTCAACCTCCGAGGGTTGACTCGCAGGTGCTTCGGTGTAGGTTGCCTCGCTTCTGGTGCAATGTTTTGACACTGCTGAAGCGTTTAAGTTCCATTGTTTCCAACACTCCCCTTTGCTTCTGGAGTGTCGCTACTGGTAACGTGGCTCTGTCCAGTCAGCAGCATGCAGTATTCGAACTTCTGCTTTCCGAGCTTCTTGGTCAAGTAATCGGCTGCCATCTCAGACGTGGGACAGTATGACAGTTCGAGTTTCCCCTTCTCGATCTCGTCCTTCACGAAGAAATAGCGCAGGGCAATGTGTTTCGTCTTGTTTGCGAAGCCGCTCTTGTTGGCGATGCGAATTGCTGACTGGTTGTCGCAGAACACGGTGAAGCTGGGTAACTCGGCTAACTTCGCTTCTTCCAGCAGTTCGCGAAGGTAAAGTCCCTCCTTGGTGGCTGAGCAGAGTGCGATATATTCCGCTTCAGCTGAATTCAGTGCGATTAACTCCTGCTTACTCGACTACCAGGAGATAGGACCGATAGGCTCGAGGCGGTAGACATAGCCGGTGCGTGAGCGCCTATTGTCGGTGTCGCCGGCGTGATCGGCGTCGACGTAGCCGATTAGCTTGGTCGGTGTAGTTGCGTTTTTGTGATAAGTTAGTCCGATCGTCGCGGTGCTGACGAAGTAGTGGAGAGCGCGATCGAGTTCCGCCAGATGCTCTGCTTCAGGCTTCTTGAGATAGGTGGCGAGCTGACTCGCGGAGTAGGATAAGTCGGGACGGCATGTGACTGCTGCGAAGAGAAGACACCCGAGCTTCTTCTGATAGTCGCGTATGCCGGCAGGCTTGAGTAGAATAGATCGTTCCTTTTTCGGTTCCTGACGTGTAGCGGTAAGGCGTGGAGAGGGCGCTTGGTGTGAGACCGAAGCGTTTTGCGATGGTGTCGGCGTATTTCTCGGCGCTGAGGTAGATCGCGTCCTTCCCTTCTCGGATGTTGAGTCCGAGATATTGTGTGACGGTAGATGAGACGGTGAGGGTAAGGTCCTTCTGCAGCTCCCCTTCGAACCACGTGGCGATGCCGTCGGTTGACCCAATGTAGAGGAGATCGTCCACGTAGACGATCAGGAGAACGTAGTCGCTTCCCTTTGTGAGGCGGTACATGCCCTGGTCATGCGGGAGTTGTTTAAAACCGATGCGGATAAGGCGGGTGTGCAGGTACTGCTGCCACAGTCGCGGTGCCTGCTTGATCCCGTAGAGCGACTTAAGCAGCTGACAGACTTGATTGGGTTCACCGTGGGAGCCGTGCGGGAGCTCGTTGAAGATTTCTGCATCCACAGGTGCGTAGAGAAAAGCGTTTGCGACGTCGATTTGTCGCAGTTTCTTTTTCTTCATGGCGGCGATGGCGATGAGGATTCGGAGTGAGGTGTGACGGCTGACCGGAGCGAAGGTTTCGGTGTAGTCTCTTCCGAGCTCCTGGTCAAAGCCGCGCACGACCCAGCAAGCCTTGAATTTGTCGATGGTGCCGTCAGCTTTCATCTTCACACGGAAGACCCACTTCCCGGTAAGGATAGTCTTGTTTTGTGCTACGCCGATGGGAACGATTTTCCAGGTGTTGCGCTCCTCCAGTGCCTTCAGCTCTTTGTCCATGGCTTCACGCCATTTCTCCCTATGTTCCCCCCCCAGAGCCTGTTGAACCGTCGCAGGCTCTTTAGGAATGGCGGCGCCATGGACTGCGGTGACGAGTCCAAGGATTTGGAGGCCACTCTGTGTGTAGCGGGGGAGTGTGCCGGGGAGAGTGTTGTCCTCGGGATAGGCTGCTTCGTCTCCCTCTTCTGGATCAGGTATGAAGTTTGGTCCTATGCGTTCAGCTTCGTCGGTGTTGACTCTTGCAGGTGTTACGTAACCGTTGTCGGCGAAATGGTAGTAGATTTCGGCGTTGTTACTGTCGCGCGGGTTTTCGTCATCCATGGGGACGTTGACGGAGCAGTACGGGAGTGGTCCGGCTGCTTCCGAGGCTCCTTCCACGTTCTGCTCGTCCCAGTCAGCTTCGTCTTCTGCCGATGCGAAGGCTCGGTTGCCACGGAAACCACCTGTGGGGTCTCGGTTCTCGTCCAGGTTGGCAAGATAAGTTTGCATGGTGAGTCGTTCGTAGAAGATGATGTCACGTGCTGCCACTGTTTCCTTCGTGTGGACGTCGAA